GGTGGGGGGGGGAGTTGCGAAAATCAAACTTAAGGCCCTGTTTGATCTCGCGTCAGCCACTGCATGTTGCAGCGCTGATTGAAGGAGCAACAAAATAAACCAAGATCGAGGAGTTGTTCAGCAGGTATTGAAGTCAACGAAAGGTCACATCTGAACCCCACCTGCACGAGAGGAGGGTGGTATATGGGAGGCTGACAGTTTTACTTATCAGCCCAGTGATGGCTCGAAAAAGTATCCATTCTCCTGGAGAATACTCCCCCGCTTATTGCATTAAGTCAGCACAGTTTCGTGTGGAAATGTTTGTTTCTTTATATTCAGGCCGTATTTTGTACTGATATCTACTGCATTCATGCTGACGCGAGCACCTTAGTGTGAGCGTCCATGAAAGCCGGAAAAGTTTGCGTAAACGGCCTCCGCTCATTGCAAAATCAACTAGGCTGTCCGCATAAATTGAGTTAAGCATCAAGTGAATAACCACGTTCGACTGAGGCATGAAAGGCCGCTTTTGGGTTTAGCCATTCTGCGCACATTCTTGTCTTAGATAAGGTCATCAGACGATTTTTATTTCACCACACTGGTACTCTCTAGACAGCAAGCAAGCCTTCTGGAAGTGACCGCAAACTGACCGACAATGTTTCAGCTATTTTGACTTCGACGCTTACGATGAGATGTTTGTGGGTCATGGCTGATTAGTGCGCAGTTTTGAAACATGTTGGACAGAGCTTGGGGCAGTTGAGGACTGACTTTGGATCACTAGACCCACTCCATGCCAAATAAAGGCTCTGCCCTAGGATAAAACTAAGTGTATGAAATTCCCCCACAGACAGGAAAGGCTTCATTTTAACTTTACTCCGCATTCTCAATTATTGGCACACTTGTTTGCATCTGTCTACTTCTTAGGATGCATGGCTTGCAGCCAAACAAATTACTCTAAATGACTCTACATATACAAATCGCACTAGTCAGCGCACATTCAAAAGTTGATTTATTCGATTTATAATTGTATTTGTGATCGTGTCTTGTACATGAGTGTCCTTCATAGTTCCAGTACAATATGCAGTTAATGGTCCTAGCACCAGTTTCGCCAATTTTCGGGCGCTGCTTGACGCAAGACTTGCGATTCGTCGGTATTGAGGAACAACAGCAGTTAGCAAATGACACTGCAATTTTCGTAAATTAGTAAACGGGCTCGGCGTCAAATAGTTCGACCTCAATTCTTGTGTATGCATTTAAGTTCCATAATGTCGACCTCAACAGAATAATTGTATGATACTAATACCTCGTAAAGCTAACAGTATTCTGGTTCTTTTGGCACGGAAAATACATTCTCACCAAGTTAACGACAAAGTTACAAACTTCAAACTCGGCTACGTGTTCGTTCGTTCGCTTTTCCTATGCATGACACAGGTGCAGCAGCCCGGCTCACAAACGGCTGGGTTCACCTCTCCGTTACTACTAACAGTTTGATTGAGGAGCAAGTCAGACTGGACTTTTAAGCCTGTTGACATGTCACTCAAGCGCTAGGTCGTTCAGCCACTGACCCATGGATATACGAGATTGAACACAAAGGGCATTCACAAATAATACTGGCAGGTCCGTCGTCACTCATGAACTTCAACAAAATCAAGTAATTTTGCTGTGCGTAAGTTGAGGTGCGGACTTTGAGAGCAACTCACACTGCCAGTCGCAGTTGACCATATCTGATGATGTTTACCGGCTAGGAATAATCTAGACTCATTAAAATCAGAAAACAGCAGACAGGTCCATTAGACTGACGCCATTTGGATCCCGGATGTCCTTTTTGCAGTTCACTGGCATTATGCGGGTTGCGCACGTCAAATATCGGGGACACAGTGGGACGTAAACAGGCCGTTCATTCTAGCGTAAAAAAAACAATGAAGCCGATTCAATGAAATCTAAACATCTCGCCAAAAAATTACTTTGGAGGAAGTAGGAATACAACGCGGTCACTTGCTCAAGTTCAAAATAGCCAGGAAACAGGGCTAGACCCTAGAATTGCGCATGCAAAGGACAGTACCGGGGTGATCTGTCAAAACACCCGAAATTTCGGACCGTGCCTAAAAAAATCTGTTCTGAAAGATTTACCCCAAGTTAGCGCATTAATTCCCTCGGAAACTGAACAGGGCAAGGCGTAGTTTGCCACCAAATGTGTACGAGAAAGGATGTTTTTGTTCAATACTTCTACACAATATATCCGAATTCCTAGGAGCATCCAAAATCGATCAAATGTATGCATAGCAATAAAGTAGTAGCTTTGATCTAGTGTGGCTTTTAAGAGCGGCCGGGGGAAGTGGATTAAAAAAGGCGGCATCATGGCGTGACCGGGACATCATAAGATCATGCTGCACGGTGGTTTGTTCTACAACCTTGCTTAAGTAATTCTTCCTAACCGAAAACAAATCTCGAATTTCGGCTCATGGGATAGGTCAGTTCCCGCACCCCTGACTAAGTTTTCTTTGTTTCTCGCATATTTTGGTGATTAAAACTATATCTTGTTTCACCAACTTTCGTACTTGGAGGCTCAGTACTACAGTTGAAATGGGCCTTTCGAGCAGTACACTCACTGTCTACTCATGCTAAGAATTATGTATACAGTAGGATTAGCTGTTTGTGAATTCGCAAAAGTGTTCTACGGTTCACATAGCCCGAGCTATTGGGTTCTCGCCAGCAATTCGTTCCGCAAGAGTACGGGATATGGCTACGAGCAGCCGGTTGATGCTTCTGACGCATGACAATTTAAATATTGATCACAGTTGCGCGAAATTTTCACACAGTATATGTGGCCTCTTTTTAAACATAGACTAACAAATGCGTTTTTATCACATAGACAAAACCCTATTATAGATACTGTTTTGGAGACCTACTGCAATATATCAGAATTTCGGAATTCATAAACCAAAAACGATAAGCAATCAGAAGTTCTTGCCAGTCGTGTTCTTCTATCCAAGTAACATGTTGCAAATAAAACGCACTCTATAGACCGACAATCAAGACACACCGGGCTCGTACTTCATGGGATAGATCACCTACTGCACCTCTGACTAAGTTTTCTTTGTTTCTCGTGGGCCAGCCCGTGGTGACTTTGTCTTCGGTTAGATCTCTGTCTGCCCTTCCAGCTTTCTCGGTGCCCAAATTCCGACACTGTCATTGTGATCTCTCACACCACTTGAGAGACAACGAACGTTGACATGCGCATCTGTTTACCGCCTAGCGATTGCTACAAATTCACCGTTGCGCCATGGACCTAGGCCTAAACGGGGCCAAACAGGTGTACGTGGCAGCCGATGCAAACTGCATTCTAACACGCAGCTGTTCCGTGATGCTACAGGGGAGAGATGTGAGGTTAGCTCCGTGCGACGCGCCAACAGTTACGTCCTGGATCGCCGCAGCTTCCCGGGGTGAGAGTCAGAGTGCGGTGGCTCACCAACACAATTCTTGTGAAATCCCCTCCCCCCCCCTGACGTAGAGCCCGATTCTTGTTGAGGGAGAGACCCACACTAGCATGGCATGCGTAAATGGGGGTCCCACACTTGGTAGGCCTCTACGTCAAGGTCCGTTTCCGGTGGGTCTGTCGCCACTGATACATGACTGAAAGAGGAACGATTGAAGGGGGTGCTGTGCAGACGCCTCTTATATTTATGCACTTCTCCACTAATACACTCCTCCAGACGATCTTAACTGCCTTCGGGTCACTACAGCCTGGCCTTAGGCGGATGACTGACGAACGAAATAGTTCCGTCCTTTCCTTATTCGTGCCTCAGTGTTTCAGTATTATGAAGCCGAGAAGGCGGAAAAGACTGTATGTTTGCTTTACTCATCCCGGTAGTAGTGTGGTTACATCCTTTTGACTCCCGTACTTTCAGTCCGACGTCAGTTTGTTCGGAGGATCGAACAAGGGCTCTTCACATTAGATTGGTGTGCGAAAAGCTCAGATTACAGCTTCGGCAGCGCGTGTCCTTACATAACCACCTTTTACTTCTACTCGATGTTCTTTGACGGAACGCGTGGGCTAAACTTCGTTGTTGTTCGACTCATGCATAACATCCACAAAAAGTCCTCGGTCCACAGAACACGGAATCTTAGTAGCTTCGGACAAACCTCTGACGTCTAGATTAGCTGGAGCCTTGACCTCTAACACGCTAGCTTTTTGCGAGGAATTCGACCTAGAGAAGACAGCCAATCCCACTATATCGCCGCCATCGTGCCAAGCAGTAGCCTTGATAGGATTCAAGGAAATTTCAGACTTCCTGAAACACCATTCTGTCTATAAAATTGTCGTTTTTTGCTAGTAGTAGCATGCAGAAGAGCGCGATAGTGTTCAGTTTGAAGAGGTAGCATAGATAGCAACCAATCCAAAACTGGGAAGATGGATTTGGGTTAGTGGAAAATGACTCATTTGTCAGAGCTCCTGCCTCGTGGGATTTCGGGCGCCTGAAATCAGACGGTTTTCAGTGAGAGAAATCGCTGTACAAGACAGAACTCGCAGACTTGGGATGAACACGCGGCGCTGCGTCTGGTTATGGTGCACGAGCCAATCACTCGGCCTCAATACACGCACCTTTTCGCCCACAGAAGTGCACTCTTTGGCTGATTGCTGAATTATGCGGCCAGTAGGTCCTTCTACCATAACAAACTGTGGCAGGTTATAGCGATGCCGGCACACTAGCGAGATCAGTGTTGGGGTCTACGTCGGATATCTGAAATGGGGACGCGCAGCCCAAACAAACAACGGAACAGAAAACTCCAACAGCCTGCCCCTTGTTTAGCCTTTGCCAGTACCTAAAGGTAGCGACGAAATGAAGTTCGAAAGTAGAAAAAAGAAACACCCAAGCCCGATGCTGGACCAGACTCCGTCTTTCTCACTGACCAGCATGACTGGTCAAGGTTAAATATGCAACAGCCCGTAAGTTTTTGGAGACCTTATTCAGTATGTACAGTGGACTTTTGATACAAGAGAGCATTCAAGAATTGAAAATCCATCATTCGCTTTCGGACAGAGATGCAGCAGAAAGGTCTTCTTGGCCATCCTGGGACATTTTTCGCCTCTTGGCCTTCTTCTTATTCAGCTTCCGTTGTTTCTTATCGTTTGAACGAAGAATCTGGGCAATATCAAGAGAGAACAGAGTTAACGGGTGGTATTAGCTAAACAGTTGACGAGTGGTTTAAATGAGTGAAAACGCTGTGGGATATTGCTAAAACCGGGGTTATCTCATGATTACGAAAATTCTACCCATTCCCCGAACATGGCTAAAATTTGGGCAATCCTAAAATGATATGGAGGGCGATGTTTATCTGGTGCGAGAATTTTCACCATTGTGCAGTGTTTTGGGGGATCAACACGCAGAAGTGGACTGCCTATACTACCAGTGGACGCTAAGAAAAACCAGTGGCTGATCACAATGGCACTGGCATAGACCAGAGTCGATGAAAATGCTAAAGATGTGGGGAAATGTCAGAAGAGACGAAGAAAATTGGAACGACTACTTGTGGCTTAATTACTGCCGTTGGTCCGTCGTATCTCAACCCCCCTGTCGATCTCAACTTAGGCACAGTTGGTCATCGAACCAAGGCTCAACCACTGAGCCGTGGGCTCATGTCCTGTGGGCTATCATCGGCGATAATCAAGGCTCCACGCAGCGTCGTTCGCCGACCATGTCTGATCACAGGACGAAGTACGTTTTGTCTCAGAGGTCCGACTCAAAGTTCATATGGCTGCGAGAAACCAAAAATGGAGAATCAGTGCCGACAAAGCAGGAGGCGTGCTTCGTTCTGGCGAAAAGCACCAACACGAAATAAATCCTCCAACAGTGCAACGGATCAGCTCGGAGATGCCTTGATCTAACATGATCTACGGGATGGGAGGTAGGGCTGCAGGCGCAGGACTAAGAATTTAAATGACCAGGCGAGGTAGATGCAGGAAGAGGGGACGAGGGAGAGGGAGTGGCGGGGAAAGGGCAGCAACTAATTGGAGCATGCAAATTCTCACCGTGAATAACCGACTTTTGGAACCGCTCCCGATTAGATGACTAGGAAGCGCGACAAAACCTACTGCCCTCGGGTCTAAGGCCTAACAGGCAAACAAGACTGACAGACACATGCATGATGTAACACAGCCGTCCATTGGGGGGTCAGTGTAGGTGGAGGCCAAGCCATAGGCCATTCGGTGAGTCGACAACCGTAAAAGGACGAACACGACAGAAGAAAGAATTTGTGCAGATTTTAGCACGACAGACTGGCACTTATGCATGCACCCACGCACACGCATTGATCGCCGCCAACGCCACTTGCCAGGCGGTCGAGTGGAGCTGTTCATTTGCATAGGAGCAGGGTGCGAACTGAGTAGACTCATGCCAAGGCAGGTGGGAGGGTCGGGCAGTGCGATTTCGGCAAGACCAAAAGTGATTAGTCAACCGACTGAATGTGAGAGTTGGCTTAGCAACATTGTAGGCAGGAAGGGGTGGTGGTGATGACAGCTGAACTGATTTGCACATCGATCCATACATGCCAGAAATGTGCTAATTCAGGATCGGATCCAAAGCTAGATGCAAGCACAGGCCTGTGGGTGGGCAGTCACAGACAACAAAGAAAAAAAAAGAACAAACCGATTTGGCGTGAAGAATGGCCTTGTTGAGGGTGACTGAGAGCCCAGGGTTACTCTGCGCTGGATCGGACCAGGGTAATTGGGGAATGCGCGAACCCAGTGCAGACTCTATGATTTTCAAATGAGTAGCCGAGTAGGGAGTGACCAGCGTGATTGCGCGTCCGGGCCGACCAGCACGGGCTGTCCTACCCACACGGTGGACATAGGTTTTGGCTGACTCACTCCATGTGGGTCGAGTAGGAACGTCGTAGTTCACAATTAAGTCGACATCTGGAATGTCCAGGCCTCTGTGCAGTTAAAGAACATAATATTAGGTGTGCAAACACGTGGGAACTGTTTCTCATTTTTGAAATAAACCAAAATTATTCACATGGTGGCTCGACAAAGCAATATTTCATTACACTCGATGGATATCCGCCTACCCCGTCCACTGATAATGATTTATCCGCTTTACCGGAAATTTAAATTTTCTACTATCTTTACGAGCGTGAATTGTCCATTAATACAGCCTTGTCTAGTCCGTTTATTAGTGGTGCTTTTGAAACGTACAAAATCGTGCACACTTATTGCAAAATGTTATGAGCCCCATATGAAATCTTATTAATGCACGGAAATTATGCAGCATGTGATCTAGAAACCCTCAACGAAACTACAACCACAAGCCAAGCTCAAAGTCATCCTGGCCTTGCGAAACTTTTAAAAATTAAAGTATTTAATAATAATTTATAATAAATTATTTCAGTATAAAATTTGATAAAAAACGTAATTTGCCACCAAAGTAACATAGGAAAGAATACTTCTGTGCCGTTTTTTCTATAAAATACATTTTAATTTATACGTGCATCTAAAATCAGTAGGGAAAGAGAAGCAAGGAGCGCATAATAAAGCCGGGATCCTGGTGTGCCTGAAATATCTTGGGATTAAGCTGCAGGGTAATCAGTGTTACAGCAGCATTCTAAGAAATTCTTTCTAATCGAAAGCACATTTCAGTACTTCGATCAGGATTTCATGACAGACTAGCTACTAGACTTGATTCAAACAATAACAGCCTCAGTGGACTAAATACACGCCGAATAGGATATACTAAGCTAATAGAAGCGAAGAGACGAGCTCCAGGAAGTAGTGGCGGAGAAGGAGACACGATCGCTGAAGCAAATGTTTTATTAGCCCGACGTTGCGGATTCTCACTCGAATCCATCATCAGAGGCAAAGTCAGATAAGGGTAGTGGATCGCCCAGGTGTTGCAATGTTTATAGGATGAAGTTGCCAGGCCACTACATGCCTATCACAGTTGACAGCTCCCGAGTGCATTACAGCTCAACTGGCCAGGCGTTGACGTATGCCGTTGTCATGCGTCTGTAAGCCGGTCAAGATTACCGGCTCCCACGCTCATCGCACACCGCCGAACAGCTGACTACCGGATTTCATCCTCCGTGTGGACTCTTTGGTGATATGGGTCGCCGACATTGATGCCGGGAACAGTGGTTATCCGCACGTTCTCCTCGCGGCTAATTACTTTACCTAGGCTAAGTGTCAGCGCCGAATATGGGATGGGAGGTCGTTAGGCTTGTTGATTGCTTGAGGACCAGAAAGCCATGACCCGAGTAGTTCACAACTCATGCGGTTGTCGCCTCTAGCAAAAAACTATTTTTTGCATCAAGCTGAAGCAGACTTTTAGCGAGGCAGACAGACGTGGGAGGAAATGATACCATCAGTCAGCCTGTATGGGCAGTTCGTTGATCAGAAAAGTCAAGCGTTCAGTGACGGCCCGTGCTCAGTAATTTCAGAAGAGTGGTTCTGTTTATGTGTTCAGGTTCAATTGAGTAATCTAAAACGCCGCATTTTCCACCACGACCGACAGTTAATACTACTACTGATAACTGAGTCCATACACGCTGCACTTCAGCAAAGTAGTATGTCCCAGCAACTGGCGTAAAGATTCCACAATCTGCCTACAGGAGACACTTGTGCTTTAAAAAGTTCCGCAGTGGTGGCTCTCAGACCTGGACTACTCCCGATAAAAAGAATGCTAAAAACATAACTACTGTAAGCAGTTCAGTAGAGGTTTATTATCATAGCACCACTTGGGCGTCTGTGTCATATGATAGCAGTAGTGATGTTACGAACTAAGCAGTATCCGCGTGCGTTAAATAAAGGAAAAGGGGCCTCGAAAAGACTTTTACGTAAGAACACCAATTACTAATTACCTTGAAGGCAGCAAATGGAACTGGAGGTGAAGATATGAGCCTTAGGTTCTTGTTGAAGGGCGAGGCTTATCGTCCGAACTAGAAGCCTGAACTTCCAACGGCAATCCAGTAAACCAGAAACTCGACCTTTCCCTGACTATAAGGCGTTAAGCGTCCGCTGACAGATGGCTCAACCCAGTTTACGCTGAAAGATGCACGCCGCCAACATGAAGATACTACGAAAGCCAACTACTGTTGAACCCTTTTTACAGCCTCCGGTTAATCACCGGAGGCTGCTCCAGTCCCCCTTTTCTCCGGCTCTGTTTTGTCGAACAATGGCCGCGACAGCTGTTGACACACGGCCACCCCCGCCGGCTAACACGCAGACACCTCCGGTCCAACTTCAGTGACTGTCGGCTGACCTCACAAACTTTCATCACCTCACGCGCATCTAACGCCCTGGCTTGATACCCGTGAGGCATTGTGTGCATGCGCCCCTATTCCTCCCCTAATTTGTCCAATCATACGACCACCACGCAGACAGTCACCCCCTCCTGCTGACCCAGACACTCGTACCCGCGAAAACAACACACCGCGACTGACGCTCTCCGTGAACGGACGCTTATCTCTGTTGCAAGCAAACAGCCAACTTACGGCAACCTGCCCTGTGTACAGAATAAACTAGTCCTCACAGCTCCCTGACTTCTGACAGTAGACGAAACGAACTTATTGTGCGTGATTTAAGTTGATCTCACATCCTTAACCCGCTACATGCCCTGCACGTATCCGACCGCTCAAACCGATAAAATGAAGGTCTTCGGTGACCAGCCTATCTTCTTTCCACTTTTGTGTTTGGAAAACCTAATTTGAAGCATTAGAAGTCCGCATCCTGCTCAAGAAATCAGCCTTCAATAAGCATTCATACTGTTGGATTCGAGTCTCGAAAAAAAGCGAAACTGCCGTTTCATAACAGCTGCGTAAAGGTAACCTAGAGCGTCGGAAAAACAATCACGAAACTCACCTGGAAGCTAGGTCAGTGGCAACGAGGATGCTCGCGTCACCCGAACGAAACTTTTCGAGGGCGGTCCCACGTTTGTCCTGGCGCATCAGTCCATTCAGAATGACCACACGATCGGAAGACGTAAGGTATTTGAGCATAGCCCCTAGGCGAACGGACTCACGGGCGGTCGCAGTGAATACGATCGTGCGAGACTCACTGGTAACCTGAACGACGCAAGAAGAGGGATTAAGGATATCATAAAGGTGGGAGATGAAATTTAAGTGGACTTGAAAACAGTGTCATTTTCTATTAGGCGCCAACAGTATGTAAAAACAACGATACTGTTCCCGCAGAAGTGGCTTATACACGATCCTACCTTGGCAAAAAAACGATATGCCAAAAGTCCTTCGTTCTACCTGGGACCCATTCTTAGGTCACTGAGCGTTTTAAGTTCAAGGATGTACCAGTGGGCCACTAGATCTTCTTCCCGTCGGTCACGAACGGGAATAGTCACTACTGTGAAAAGTGCGTCCACCGATCGCCGATCAGGAGATAGTTTGACATCAAACTGAAGCCTGACCCAATTTCCTCAAACGAACGGCCCTGCTCCCTGACGCAGGGAGCAATAAACCGAACGCCGAAATGGAAAACAATGTGCGAGCGATCAGGGTGCAAAGGGCATCATAAACAGGAAGGGACTGAAACTTTGGAACAGATCGACTTTTTTAAATGACGAAAACTCTAAGACAGAACGAGAGTCGGCTTGTAAATTAACAATGTCATAACTACACGATTACAAAGAACTTGCTCAGGATTGCCAGAGGCGCTGGTTGGTTAAAGAAATTTCTTCAATTACGATGAGAAAAGCCTGTGAGGAACGATCACCTCGGAACCAAACTCTAGAAGCCGAATGTTTATGGCAATTCGACTGTTGCCTGATTAGAAGAGACAGGCAGGCTCCAAGATGTCGCCGTAAAACTCGAGTGTATATAAGGTGCATCCATCGGTAGAGGTATTATACCAGCCTGCAAACATAGGTTTACAAATACGATTTTCCTTTTTTACGTTTTGGCTACCTTGTCTTGACAATCCGGGAACTATCCCTTATAACTACTATAGATATCAGTATTGTGAAGGTATAAAATTTACGATAGTATGCCTCAACACAGAAAACTCATTTAGCGCAAATCGGACATCAGCTAAGAATTTAGAGAGGAAGAAAGGTAGAAGCCGGTGGTCGGGCATTTGAGACGATTAAGCATGGCGTTCACCGACCTATTTTGACTGTAGGACAGAATATGGACGTTTAGTTTTGCCTTGAGATTAGAGTTTGGATTATTGATTGCTGTTCGCAATTCGACCGCCTGCGTGGGCTCCAAAACAGGCGTTCCAAAGGCAGAGTGGAACGACCGTATTCCCCCTGAAGTCAGAATACACCACTAAATGTCACTCCCGTTATTAAGCATTACCGACCATAATCAAAAGGGAGTGAGTCCATGAGTCGAATGGCAGAGGGTTTGATCAGTAGTAATCAATCGGTCAGTGGGTAAGGCCATACCCAGAATGTACAACCTCCCAAAAAAATCACAAACACGGACTACCCCTACGTCCAATCAGGGATATGAGGATTTCGTCCTATCACACCATAGCAAAAAGGCTAGTTGTAAAGCTTAAACCGTTGCAAAGTCATCTGTATCCCTCAAGTCTGAAGGACTCCTTCGAGTTTGTCGAGGCGATCAAGGATATTAACGTTGACGGACGGAGGATGCTATCATTAGACGTAGCATCATTGTTTACTAATATACTCGTAGCCGAAACAATAAACTACCTTTGTGACGTTATCCGCGACACGAACTACCCGTTAGGCATGCCGTTGGAAACGCTAAAAGAACTACTGACATGGTGCACGCAAAACGTCCAGTTTCTCTGCAATGGTCAACTGTAAGGGCAAATAAATGGCGTAGCGATGGGCTTACCGCTCGGCCCGTTCCTCGCCAATGTCTTCATGGGCAAAGTCGAGATGACAAGTTTACAAGACACCATTAATGACCTCAGCTTCTACGGTCGGTACGTGGACCATATTTTCTGTCTGACGGATGTTACCACCGACACAGACGCCCTGATTCAAAAATTCAACAATGCACACCCCTCGCTAACGTCCTCTACAGAGTTTCAGGCAGACAATGAAATCGCGTTCCTCGATGTTCTTCTGCAGAGACAAGAGGATGGATCTATCCAATGTAGGGTATTCCGAAAGAAAACCTGGACGGAACAATACATTAATTTTCACAGTTTTGTTCACCTAAATAGTAAACGCAATTTGGTCCAGGGATTGGCAGATTGAGTGCGATGTATCTGCTCTCCTAAGACTGTTGAGGCAGAACTCCAGCAGCTGCGGGATATACTCCGCGAAAACGGATACCCAGGGGAGCGCACTGCAAAGCCCATCATGGCAACTGCAGAAAAGAAGGACTTATTTATAAGACTGCCGACTTTGAAAGACGACGGCAAAATCGGCCAGGGATGACCGCAAACAATATTTGGCTGAAATAGCGACCTACATAGAACAGGCCTCAAACGTTGGTAACACTCGAAAACTCTACCAACTTATCCGCCAAGTTAGCGGTAAGCTCTCTACACTGAGTGACTCAGTTCGAGACGTAAATGGTGGCTTTATTGCTGACAACTCGGTCAAAATCGAAAGCTGGCGTGAGCACTTCGAGCACCACCTCAACTTCGATACCCAACCCAACTCGCCCTTGCTCTTCTCTGTGGCGGAGTTTCTTCACTCGTCAACCTGTGCAGCGCCATGCGACCCCCCGTCCGAAGGAGAGGTCGCCGATGCCATACGAAAGCTACGCAAAAACAAGACACCCGGAGAGGATGGTATACCCGCCGAAACCTACAAGTCCTGTGCCGACACTTTGGCGTCCTAGCTCCATGAGGTGATCGAACAAGCGTTAAGAGGGGATGTTGTTTCTGATGACTGGGGGTCAGGCATCCTAGTATCTATCCTCAAGAGAGATAAGACAACGTGCGAGAACTACCGCCGCATAAACTTCATCGACGTTGCTGCGAATATCTTCGCTATTTTCCTACTCAAGCGATTCCAGGCTCAGCGTGACTCTAGGACAAGACCCAACCAAGCCAGATTTCGCGCTAGACGTGGATGCGCAGACAAGACATTCACCCTGAGGCGCATTCTCGAATTTCGTCATAACTACCATCTACCAACGACCGTCTGCTTTGTTGACTTTGCCGCCGCGTTCAATGCCTTTCATCGTGAGTCCCTATGGCGGATAATGGCACTAGATGGTGACACTGCCAAAAATCATCGCCATGACCAAGGCCTATTATCGTTCCACCACCGTGCGAGTTCTGGTCCACAACAGTCTTTCCCAACCGTTTGGTATTTCGTCTGGTGTTCAACAGGGTTGTATACTGTCACCCATTCCGTTCAACTACGCCATCGACTGGATCCTCGGGAGGGCCCTACACGAAGGTGACGGTGCTGAATTTGCACCCAGACACCGACTGACTGACCTCAACTATGTCAATTATATTGTCTTACTCGCTTCGAGTTTTGGTGACCTGTAGTCCATAGTGTCGAGAGTGAACGAGGTCGCCCAATCGGTCGGTTTATTCATAAACGCTGAGAAGGTAAAGTGTTTTCAAGCTGCCTCCCTGACCAGGGGAAGGCATCTCTTGGGATTTATGGCTTTCAGCTTGAAGAAGTAAACAGTTTTACATACATTGGGACGTGGTTGCTGCCCAATGGGCAGAGTGAGAACGAGATTGTCTCCCGAATTGATGGTGCCCGACGGGTTTTTTAAAGCCTTAGAAAGGCCTATGGATCCGATGCGACATCTCCATCGTCACCAAGGCTCGCATGTACCGTGCATCTGTCCGGTCTGTCCTTCTCTATTTTTGTGAATGCTGGGCTGTGCGCGTGGATGACGGGCGAAAACTGGAGGTAGTTGACCACCACCGCTTGAGAACTATCCTTTGAGTGAATTACACCGACTTCTTCTCAAATGAAATAGTCCGCGCTCGCTGCGACATCGCAAGGACAACCCAGGCCATCCAAGAACAGCGACTGAGGAGGTTTGAGCATGTTCTTCGTCGTCTACCTCAGGAGGTCAGTGTTAATGCTCTCGATAAGGCACCTTTACCCTATTGGAGGCGTCGAAGGTGGGTTCAACTCAAAACCTGACTCGACACAGTTTGTTAAGACCTGAAGGTGGTCCTCGAACATTCGGTATTCGGTCTCCGTCGTTGGCGAAGACAATGGGTTAAACTTTCCAGGTCTGCTGCCGCGGATCATCACGCGTAGAGGTAAAGTTCGGTACATCATCGAGGTTGGCCAGATCAGGTATGATCGCAGCCGTACCAAGTACAAGTATGTACGTTCAAATTCAGCAAACATCCCCACACCGATTTAATTGCATAGATTTTCAGAAGAATGGCCGGTCTTGAGAACCAAAGGCTGGGACAATACACAAGACACGATAAGATACATCTCGTATGCTTTGAAAGCTTGCTTGGGATTGTGAATTCAAACTTAAGGCTTTCATTAAACATGTAGGTACGGAATTGGCTTACGTGATGTGATTTGAAAAATTGGATAAAGCAGGTCAGAAAAGGGTTAGGTAGTTTGAGTTAGCAAGTGCGGCAACTATGCTCTGACGTTCATTTTGTTCTTCTTTTCGAGGCTCTCAGTTAAAATTGGTGTATCTTGATAATTGTACCACCGATGGTTCTCGTAGAGAACTATTCTACGCACATCCGCAGTTCGTAGATAAGACTCACGCCTACTGGAGGCCGTTGTGATTGAATCTCTGACGATGGTTAGTGCGAGAGAAATTGAAGTAATATTTTACAAGCCTCCATTATCCCTGCGTCCACTTTATCGCCCAGCTGGAGGACTCCAAAGTTGGGAACTACTTTTCAGTTTTCCGTTAAATTTTTGAGAATTGCCAGATGGTATCCGCTTTGTCTGCTTGAACAAGATCACTTCACACTCCCCATATAGAGCAGACGGTAGGGCGTGTTTCTACAGTTGTCAAAATCACTTATGCGCTTTGAAAACATTGTACACAGTTAAGCCGGCCGTCACTTGACGCGGAGAAGTTCGCCGTTAATGAGCTTGCCGCGGGTCTATCCGTATTTGTCAGGAGAATATGATAGTATTAACTTCTCAGAATGTCTAATTATTCCTCTGTTCACGCCAGACACGCAAAACTAAAGGCAAACTACCAGGAAGGATAAATGCCAAAAAAACGGACAAGTACATGGTATGCTGAGTGGCTTACATTGTCTTCCAGATCTGCCAGTAACTTTGCGACATAGGCATCTCGCTTTTGCTCGGGCAAAAAAACGAATGCATGATCCAACTTGTCAACGGTCGTGTACTTGCTGCTCGTTTCCAGTCGCACAGGCATTCGGAGACAGGCCGTCTGAATCTTGTCCAACTAGGAGATATTTCGTTCACTCGGCATACAAATGCTTACGCTATTCGTCATTGTGGCAGAATACATGTAGGTCTTCCGCTTCTCTGGTAGCTTGGATAGAATTAACTCAAGTTGCGTATCGAAGTTGCCACCAAGCATCTGATCAGCTTCGTCCAGGACCAAGTAACGGATCTTGCCGAGAATGAGCTCTTTCGAGTTCTCCAAATGATAACTTATCCTGCCCGGTGTCCCGATGATAATATGATGTTTAACTGTGCGAAGACTTCGAAACTGGTCCTCAACATACTGGCCACCAACCAGGCAGAGGACGCGAAGTCCAAACTTTTCGCCCAAATCCATAAAGTGTTTTTTGATCTGCAGTGCGAGTTCTCGTGTAGGTGTGAGAATGAGGGCATAATTGTAGCGTGGTTTCATTATCAGCGTCTATACGAGAGGAGGTTAGGGGTAGGCGCCAAAATAAGAACAAACCTGAAGGATGGGTATAGCAAATGCCGCCGTTTTGCCGCTACCGGTTTCCGCAAGACCGACAATGTCCCTTCCCGTCAGGGCTACTGGGATTGCTTTTGCCTGTATTTCAGTAGCAGACTTCCAACCCAGCTCGGCAAGTGTCTCGCAAATTTCTTTGCAGACACCCTAAAGGAAGATGCACGTACACACCAAACGCAACTACCAGATTTTCGAAGGAGGAAGAGTGCATTTTGGAGGCCGTTTCCGCGTTGTCACGGTTAGTTGCCTAAAAGCCTGAGGTAATAAAAGTCGGCATTTACTGTGACCGCAAGGAGCAGATGGGCTTGTCGAAAGCCAGAAAATAACAGTATTAGTGAAGATTACAGGTTGGAGCCAACACAGCAAGGAAACTACTGATTCAGGACGGGGTCGAACCGCGCCAGGCGCCCTACCGCTGAGCTGTCGCAGCCGCATCTGACAGCGAGTGAATGAGTAAAGAATATTGAGTAGTCGGAACAGATGGTGGGCGTTTTTGAGATAAATAAGAAGTGGTGCACTAGGCGCAAATTCTGGAGCCAGTGGTTGGGCTTCGTTTTGTGAAAAACGTTTTTTTTACTGCGTGGTTCCCTTTCTTCCTATAATCTGTCTTTGTAAATTGTTATATTAACTATTGGAAAGTTGGAGATTATGTTAAGTACCTGACCCCGTCGGAATAAACCGGATGTACTGATTGAAATGAACACGCGAGTTTCAGGAGGTAGTTGAGGAGATGCGATAGCAGGAACAAGAATCCTATTTAGACGGCGTTTTAGATTCTCACCCGAACCTATCAACAGAGAAAGACGCGAGTGAAGCACACGTGTCCTCTCGATATTTTGTGTCCCGTGACACCTCCGAGTTCTCTGCTTTTATAACCAATGTATTCGGGGGCCAAAACTATGCGCCTTCTCAGCACTACATGTGCACATCTGTCGCAATGACCAGCTTGATGTCGAGCAACAATTAATGAGAGCAAAACATGCAATTATTGCAAAGTCCAAACACACAAGAGATAATGCCCTTTCCAAAACTTTAGACAAGGAATGATGCGAAAAGTAGGGCTGTTCAAGTCGACAGACAGTTAGTCCCGTTGCAACTGATAGCTGGTAGATAAAATGGGAATAGCGATTTTTCGAGATATCTATCTCTGGCACGTCATTAGTCACCCCTCTTATCCAATCTGGCCATCTAGTGGCTGCCACTCTTTTGTCGTGCTGCAGCACCGCGCGCGTCCCCGCACGTCATTACTCCCCATGAACAGTGCGTAAGGCCTGTCTTGACTGTACTTTCTGCCTATTGTTAATATTAGTGTATCTCTTTACTGCCTTGGCTCCATTGCTAAAAATGCTTCGGCAGCAAACACGCAGGACACGAAGACGCTCTATGATTGCTAGTCTGTCAGAAAACTGTAGTGGTAATGCGGGTTGTTATAGAGCTTCACAGCGGTAATGACGGTCGGCCTTCGGCGAGGCGCTCTACCTGTTCAGCGGTGTTGCCGTATAATCGCAAGCAGCTTACACTACAACGCAATAACCTGCATTACTATTACAGGTTTCTGGACAGGCTAGCAATTGTAGAGCGTCTTCGTGTTCTCCCTGTCTAAACGGAGAGGCCAGTTGCGCGCGGGACGCGAGCAGCGAGTCTCGATTCGCAAGTCATTGTTATTAGGGTTTCTGCACAAACGTCTTTGGCGATGGGGTCAACGCAATAAAAAGATATAAATTAATAATAGCAAAAGACAGAAAGTGCAGTCAAGTCAAAGGTTAAACGCCGTTCATGGAAGATAATGACGTGTGGGCGCGCGTGCGATGCCGCAACACGACTAAAGAGCAGAAGTCAATGGACGGCCGGATTGTATGACAGGGATGACTAATAACGTGTCAGTGATAGGAAGGCAGTTTTCAAAGTAAAAAGCATTCAGGTGCATACATAAGCATACTTAGAACGTAGTAAGCGTCGTATCTTACGATCAGCAAACCACGTGACCAAGGGCCGCAAGACGAAAACGGGTGATTTCAGAGGACCCGCCAAGCTGTCGTACGCATTCAAATTTTGCAGATCGCCTTCGGAATTTCATCAACAAATGAGGACACTTAAAAATTCCCAGACTCTAGTAACTCGTAAATCGATCGCAAATCATTAGTATAATATTTTGTGCTATGATCCAACAAATAGATGGAACAGAAAGAGAGTCGGTTCGGAAAACAAACGCTTTATCGACGACCTGCAAACACCGGGGCTCTTTCCTCGTCAGAAAGATGCCTTATTTATACTGCTCCCTGTGCGTTCTGAAACACTCCGGCCAATGATGTGTCAGCCGTTGGGAGCGTTCTGGAACATTTTTGCCTATGGTGTGTCCGTCGCCGTCTGGTCACCGCGAAAGGTCTCGAATTTTGAGTATACAGCTGCCTACACGAGCAAAAACCGGTAACTCAGAGCCTAGGCCCGGACTCACAGTTTGCAACTCCCATCGGAGAAACTTCGCATAGTTTTGACTCTCAAGGAACAAGCATCTTAAGCCGGCATACGGAAAGGACAGTGTGTCTTACACTTGAGGTTTGATACTCGGACGCCAACTCCGTCAACAGTTGTCTTGACCTTCCTAAAACCTCTAAAGTGCAACTTCACTACATACGTCATTGCCAGGACAAGACGGTCACACGGAGCTTAGAAACATCGACCAAACACGACCCGTGGACAAATTCACCCGAAAGGGACCACAACTGCAACGGACCCCACTGAGAAGACGACAAGCAGCGCAGCAGGCCGCAAAAATTCGAAAACGACGGCTAGCAGGCCGAAGCAGCGGAAAAAGACAAAATCAACCAGCCAGATAATTCGGCCATTGATTTAAAGTTCTAGCCAGTTTTTGCTTAAAGCGCTTCCATATTGGAGGACCGGTCGAGCCCTTCAAAACGTCAGCCATGCAAATCCTCCGATCCGGTGAGCCCTACACATTTATCGAAGAGGAGGACACCCAGTCTATTTGTAATGCCGCGAATCTTATTGGGCAAGAGTCTCCTTGTCGTATATTTGGCCCCATTTCTTTTATCGCATATGGTAAATCGTATAGACAACGCTCTTATAGAAGTACTGCATAATCAGAACGACCGAGAGGAGGCAGGCAACATACATGGTGTATGATGCCAGGATCTTTTGCGAAGATAAGATGCAGACAACTAGTCTGTTGCCCTTTGCGCACTTCTGTTGGAACCAGGACATGCTGTGTAATGAGTGCTTTAGTGTTTTCTCCTAGATGACGACAAACTTCAAGCATTCTGCTCTATCGAATGTCAGTTACACTGATATTATCCATGAGAACAACAGCAACATAGCTAACGATCATTTATATTCTCTAACATGCAAGCATCTGCGTTGGAATCTGTCTCCGGTGATCTTAGATGACAGTTGGGCCGGTGTTTCCCAACTCTACAGCACGATGAGTGACAGTGACATGCGCGTGACTTCGTTTATAGTGGTGACAGACTTGTGCCACATCAGCCGCACTTTCTACTCCTCAACTACCTGAGCCCGATGTCATGACAGAGTCAAGAAGACCGAAGACAGGAAAGGATGCTGATGACGGGCGCGGCGTGAATCTGTGCGTGAGCGGGCCATCACGCCCCTGGATTTGACACAACAGCAAAAAGGGTGATGAATCGGACCCAAGCTGAGTGAGAGTGCCATAAAGTCTACATAAAGAATGAGTCTCTGCAGTCTGACTTCGCGTCCTATCAGTTGGTAATCTTTTCAGCAAGAACTTTTAGCGCATCCTGTTAATTTAAAAGCTTATCAGATTGTTTATAGTGAAAAACATGAGCTAAGACCGGTGACATCACTCTCTCTCCCCACTCTGAGATCCCCGTCCACTCTCCGAGCCGGTCAGTTTCTAACGCCCGGAGTGGGTTCGGTAGCTGACAGAACCAAAGAGCCCGTCTGTGTCCGCCACATACACGACCTGGCCTCTCAAACACACGACAGTTCGACCATCGATTTTGATAATGTCCACCGTGTGCCCCACAGTTGCAGCAGCGGTGGGAGCAGGGACGGTGACTTGTGCAGGGGTTTATAGTGCCGGTAGACTTGCGCTGCATCTACCTACACTCTCTCCTCCTCCCCCGCCTGGACCCGGTGTCAAGACAGAGTCAAGAAGACCGGAGGCGAGGGAGGCCGCAGGTGGATAGTTCGGACGGATGCTCACTTGGCGTTCCACCACACCCCCTGGTCCACACAACAATAACCAGGATTTCAACCAACACAACAGCGATTTGGAGGCTGGCACGGCCGAGGCCGCACCTGGGCGTGCCGCCAACGCCTGGCTCGGATCCCACACTGTGATGGGAGTGCCATAAAGGCCACATTAAAAAGGAGCCATTGCAGCCTGACTCTCAGACCGCCTCCGGTCAAGGAGGAGGTCCAAGGTACCCCGTCAGTTGGCAACCTTCCAAGCCACGGCTTTTAGCGCACCGTGATAGCTTCAAGCGCGTCAGATTGATTATAGTGAGGAGAAAGTGCGCTGAGTCGTCGACCTCACTCTCCCTTCCCACTCCCACACCCCAGCCGCTGTCCGAGCCGGTCAGCAGACTGGAGCGGGAAATGGGCGCGGTGGCTGACACGGTCGACTGACCATGCCTGCGCGCGCCACAGCACGACCTGGCCCCCCATACACACAAACGGCGTGTCTCCCACTTGCGTGAGAGGACCGTGGAAGGTGCTGTTTCAGCCCGCCGCCCAGCCAATCAGTCCGCCACTCCACACAACACACACACACACACAACGTGACGAACTGCGTGAGCCGAGAGCGGGTGTCGAACAGCAACCTTCCTATCCTCGACACTTGACGTGTCGGGATAGTCTCGGACACAAGTCACCCATGCAGACGAAGCCGCATGGGGACCGAGTCGAGATGCACACTTCCCACTTGCGTGGGAGGTGGCAGTTGGGTGCATGAGGTGTGTGAATGTTGATTTCTGGTGGGGTGATGGTGGTGGTGGTGGTGGTGGCGGTGGTGGTGGTGGTGGTGGTGGTGGTGGTGGTTTTGGTGGTGGTGGGCGCGCACACACACGCACAAGGACTTGACATAAAAGGAGGGGCAGCTCGAATCTTACATGGAATCAGAAGAATGCGACTTGAGACACCTAGCTGCACAAATTCCGAGATGCCCTTGGAAACCACTGGCATGACGCCAAAAACGACTGTCACATCATTACAGGAGAATAAACCGCATCAGTCCAATGACCGAAGCCATTCTCTACGGATTAGCAATCTGGGTAGTTTCAATCTTAGCTTGTCATTTTTCAATTTAAATTCGGAAGGCAACCGTGAATTAATACATAGTCGCTGTCGAAAAAGGTCCGTGTTTCAGGCTAAAAGGACAGCAGTGTAGTTAGCAAAGATCGGATCTAGAATGTCATTATCTCCTGCTGGAGAGCGAATAATCCGAAACAGTTAGAAAAATTAATAGTGCTTTGGAAAGGCTGGAATCTAAGCGGAAAATGTCCGGAAGCCAATCTTTTTCAGGAAATTCAAAATTTCCAAATTCCTGTTTAACATCAAAGGCAGCTTCTAAATCAAATTTAAGGATTTCACAGTCATGGATCAGCACTGGATGATGAACCTGCGCAATTGAGGATATAGCCAAGAATGGCCTTTCTTTGCGGAGGGCGAAAAATGGATGCGAATCAAAAGTTTCCAGAAACTGAGGGAGTATTCATACCGCACGGAAAACGCTTTAAGAAACTTCTGACAACTTCATTCCCAATGATTGTGGAGGTCGCCAAGGTTTGATCTTGTCTCCCCCACTTCATCTCTCCGCACAGTGATGACCTGAGATTGCTAAACGACTGTCTGTTTGTTAATTATGCGGACAATGTGGTTGTTAATCACCATCTCAAGAATCAGTCTAATCTCCGGTCACTGAAGGATGGCCTAACCATGCCTCAGTATGGTCATCGGAAAATGGTCGCATCCTGAATAAGCAGAATTCAGTCTAACGTGATTCCCAACTGAGACCCTCTCTTAGTCCTGAATCTTTGGATATCACTTCCAACGAGGTATCCTCTTTCGGGTACCTTGGTGTTACTTTGTCATCGAATCTTTCATTTTTCCCTTCATATCGAGACCCTTTTCACTAAGTTCGCAAACCTCTTTATTACATTCGTCGTTTACGTTCATATCACACAGGTCAGCCTTAATCTGGAGATTCATAGTTGCCTGCATACTTCCACTGGCTCTTTATTGCCCTCCCGTTCTATTATCTTTTTAACACGTCCTCTGAATGCCCTGTTCTGCCACCAGTTTTTATGTTTTTTTAGCCAATACTGTCATACAGGGATATTTCAAAACGATCGAGCATTTGACTGGTCGAATTCGGGATGACGTTCTCCGCCCCCCTTCATTCTGAACTAATTGCTTCGGTGTCCTCCTGCCCCATGCACTGTGGCTTTCAACATATATCCAGCCGTACATTGGCATATCATCATTCCTTAATACCTGTTCTGGCACGCCATCTTACGTGTAAAGAGGCAGAAATACAGGAGATGTGACTTGAACTGTTCCAGTAATAGGGGTTCCCATTTGCCTGAACCTTAATGACTCTTGTGTACTTTGTTAGCTTGCAGTCTGCGCACAGTGTATGGACACCTTTTTGTTGAACATTTTGGACAGACCCTTTCAAAATAAAGCGTATTCCTCTCTCTCTTCCTCTTTCTGAGACTTGGTCTTTGAGTCGGTTGGAATTCACCTCCGCTAAATTAGTCTCAGAAAGTGCAAATATTGTCTGGGAACTGCTATTTTCAATCGTTATCCGCCGCATCCCCTTTATTGCTCTCATTGTCTCCTCTTTACGACTGCCATTTTAGAGTTACGAAAATTTTCATAGCAGTAATCAGAAGGTGAGGTGGTGGCAAACGCAGCTTCCGAGAAATTCCCCTCGGACCAGTACAATTATTTAGGGACGGGGTAGAAGCAAAAGCATGTCAAGGATAAGAGAACTCGATTAAAGTTCTCCTTTAAACACAGGCGGGGTGTGGGGATGGGTGGAAGGTAATAGCAGTCAGTGCCAGGGGCAGGGTGTGGGCGGAATGTCACGGAGAGTTGCAGCGTTAGTCCACCTTCGACTATTGTAGGTGCAGAGCCTGAACGTGGTTCTTCGGTGAGCACAAGATTGGTTTTCGTAACCTGATGGCGGTTTTCTCTGCTGCTGCTAACGCGTTGGACCAGTAACTTAAGGCAACTCAATGGGGTCTCATAGTTCACACAAAAAAGCTTTGTCAGGGTCCACACCATGACTGGAATCAACAACACGCGCGAGAATGGGACTGCTTATGCCCTTAGATTCGCCGTTTTCCAGCCGGGCCGGGAGGTGTTTCTGTATCCCCTTGGATAGGCGCAGACTCGTGCGACCAATTTAACCTGCTCCACAGGAGCAAGTGGAAGAATAGATGCACACTGAGGTGGCCTGAAGTGACAACTTATCATTACCTTCACCGTGTAAAATAGAATTAGTAGAAAATGATATTTGAACCCTTGCTGATAGGAAGCTTTGCGAAACAACTTGATCAAGGCGTCTCCTTAGGAGTTCACTCGCAGCGTCCCCATGAAAAGGGACTTTGAGAAACAAAGTTTTATTTTCTGCGGTCGGTGTGGTAGGTTTTACCGGTCGTTCGGCAATGTTCTTTGCAATAAACCTGTCCGGATACCCGTTTATGATAAGCAAGTACTGGATTTTTCAAAGTTCTTTCTTGATTCTATCTCATAAACACATTTTTCCATCTCTTTGCGCCAAATACCGGACTAGATTTCGTTTTTGTTGCAGGAGTACGAAACTGGCGAAGTTCGTGTATCATTCAGACCAGATTTTCTCCCGATAGACGCTCCTTCCGACGCTACCGTCAGGTCTCCTGCTCATAAAAACATCTAAGAGAGGGAGCAAACCGGCTGTTTACATCTCGAACGCGAATTTGATCGATGGATGTGCCTGATTTACAGCAGTTAAGAGAGTAACTAAGCCGGTTTCTGTGGTGGCAATTGCAAAGATACGATCAATATAGCGACCGTAATGTTTAAGCTTATCGACCTGATCGCTTGGTTGGAATCTTCCCTGTTTGCCCATGAAGACATCGGCTAGGAGAGATCTAAAATAGAAGGCCAAGGCAATGCCATCCATTGGTCTGTAGAGTTGGCTATCAAAAAGGAACTGTACGTTTAATGCGCATCTTAGTAATAGTTTCTTGAGTGAGTTCATCGGAATTCCTATTTCCAGCTGATTGGTTGTTGCAAATTTACAGGCGTATTCAACCTTGCGAGGGTCCTAGCATGAGCCCCAAGGCACAATGCAAGCAGCGCATTCCCTAACCTGATCGGTGGGCTCCCATCTGTCAAAGTTGATATTCCAGATCAAAACTGACAGGACAGTGGGTCCGTAGCTCAGTGGTATAGTGTCAGGCTCCGTGACTACAGATCCAGGGACCGAATCTCAAGTGATCCAAACTTGGAGTTTGGCACGACCGGCTCATGACGGCTAATAAGCCAGGAGTGGTCATTCCGGTCTTCCTTGTCTTTGTCGATGACACCTCATTTACGTATTCAACTGCCTCGGTAACCGGAAGGTTTGTAAATATTTAAGAGACGTCTAGTGAGAATATCACTATGACTTTAAGGTTCGGGCCTTTAATGTCGTCAACGAATTCGATGTTATCTCGGTAGCTGCGTGTTGCTAGTTGGTGTAGTACGGGCTGGAGTTTCTCAGCTTTCAATTTCACTATCGTATGTTACGGAGAGCCTAATTTTGTGCTTGGGATTGCTTTTTGGCGAGTTCGCAACTTTGTTCTTCAAATCCTGGCGACCATTCCCTATGGTATCTTGTTACCCCTTTTTCTTATTGTCTTGTACCTTGAGAATCTTTACCCGACCACACACTGCATGTTTCCTTTTGGGGAATCCATTATGCAGGTTCGCTCTTCCCCACTTCGAGCTACCTCTTGTGTCGTTGTTGCTGAAACAAGGGTCTTGTGCATGCACTCCTTCATAATTTTAACTTCTAATTGAGTCGACCACATACGTCGACCATAGCCAATTTATAAAGCCCTGAAAACACTTATATGGGCGTTCGGCAGTAGCGCAGAGGTCTGCGCAGCTGACTTGTCTTCGTGAGGTTCCCGCTTCGAGCCCGCGGCACACGACATTTTGTCAGTCGATTGTAGACTCCAATATTTCGCAAAACTTTTCCATACACCCAACAAGAAATTCTTCGGTAGACATTTTTTTTATTTTTGGAAAGGAAATATTATTACGAAGTCTTATTATGTTGAAAATGGTTTCACAAGTTAAATGTACCCTATTTTCGAGAACCTCCAGAAAACAGGGAATTAAACAAGTACTTCAAGATAATGATGCACCCAATGTCTAAGTCTAGAAGAGTAACTTAGCGCTTGCAGAAGGTTTTCAAGGCACATCGTTCTCAGTATAATCTTTCTTCCCGGCTCGCAAGCATCAGAAACCAGAAATGGTTGAAGTCTGCGTTTTATAAAAGTCTTGTTGAACATTTGCGAGGATAAGAACATTGGTGAATAGAATCTGACTTTTAATTCCGGCAGGCTGCAAGTGCGCCCAGTAGGCCGAAATCGCAAAGAAAGCAAATTCCTCGGAGGGCAAAAATTTAGAACTTAATTCGAAACGCGAGACGTCCATCACAATCTACGAAAAGCAAATATAAACAACGAGCTAATTGGACCTTTCAAAATATTGTTGGGGATCTGGCAGCTAAGCAATGATAATTTTCTCGAACAAAGTTGGAAAGCTCCACGTCAACGGGTCCGTTTTCGCTATCTACTGAGGAATTTCCCCAGTCATACCCGGTCGCGTTTTTATAGCTTTCTGTTTGCAAGTTGTAGTTTGTTATAATACGTAGCCAAATCTACGTTGCATCAAACCGGTAAAAATGAAAACAGGCTATCTAATAAGTCCACTTTAGTAACTGCAAGAACAGCGTTTTAGAGAGGTTAAGGAATGAGTAATGCAGGCAGCAGTTCAACTGTGAGGTTGCACAGAGGCGAAGCCACCTTCCAGTCGCGTTCTTGACCTGTTTTTCTTCTGGAGAAGTTCCGAGTGTCATCACACACTTCTAGGTGTGAAGCGGCGTCTCTTGTCCAGATGTCAATGAGTCCTGCTGGTAGAAGGCA